TATATATATATATAAATCCTACTAATCCCAATCTGTTTGATTATTAGTTATTGGTTTAGTTTTTTTTACATCTATAAGGTTCCTTTCTGGACATTCTGCCTCTCCAGTTCCAGTTCCATACATTCTTCTTCATTTCTAAGCCTCCGGGTCCTTTCTTAGTTTCAAGCTGCTACATAATGAGATAAACTGTTTTTTTCACATAAATAACCATATTATGTACTTTTACCTTGTTTTCCTTTTAGTCTTTTTCAGAGGCACATATTAGCTCTGCTGCACTGTTCCACTTTGACTGTTTTGTTTATTCTGTATCTTGTTTCTATTCTTTGCAGTTTGTTTTCTTGTGTCCTTCTTTGTTTGTCTGTTTGTTGTTGTTTTTTTTTGTTTTTTTTTGGCTGCATTATCTACCAATATTCCATGAGGTTTCGTCTCCCTCATACCTGTGTTAGGGTACAGAGCAACATCAGCGCATAGCAGGAACAAATGCAGCCTAATGCTAATTGTATGTTTAATAGTTTATGGTGTGTTATGTTTAAGAAAATTAGAGATATACAGTAAAGATTTCTTAAGCTTTCCATACAGGATGTGATTAGCTAGATTTCTCACTTTGATTCCAGTTTAGTTCTTTGACTTGTTGATGGTTCCTGTTGGGCAGCTCAGCCTTATCCACTATAGATATAACCAACCATTTTTTTTTTTTTTTCCTTGGTGTCTTTTTCTTCCTTTCTCTCTTACATGAAAGTAGGAGTACATCCTGTGCAGGTTACCAAAGTTATTTAAAGAGATAATTTAACATAGTTGCATTATTCTAGTTAGTGGAAATCAGACTATCCTGAGAGAATGCATGTTTGCAATAGGAAGCACTGCAAAAATCTTTAAACCCTATTGCTTTTTTTTTTTTTTTTTTTTTTTGCTTCAAGGGGCAGCAGTGTGTATTCATGAGGCTATGTGAGCATTTACTCTTAGCCTAATGTAGAAAAGCAGTAACAAAGAGAGTGGAGGCTGCAGGAAGGAGAAAACACCACCAGGGGTTTAAAACCAAAATCCCCAAACCTCATTGGATACTTAGATGCTGCATTCATAAAAAGCCCAACAGGACTGCTGTACAATGTGATGAAATGCACATTTAGGAGCTCTCCTTTAAGCAGAATGCCAGTGATGCTGTAGAGAGGAGGATTTTATTTTAAGTACCATTATAAAAAAGAGAACCTTTGTGCTGTCGGCACTCTGCACCATGGCTTTTCGATTTGTTTCTGTTAATGATAAGCTTGATCACTGTGGTGTCAGATAAGAACATGCAAATAGGAATAGGTAATTCAACACTACACATTTGCATGTTATTAGGGGAAAAAAAAGAATGAATAAAATATTGAGTTAAATGTAAATTCAAGCATTTTTTATTCTGTCTCAATGTTAAACACTTTTACTTTTGAAGTAATTATTGTATTACACTTTTAACAGTGTGCCATCTGCTGAGCAGACTCTGGATCAGTTTCCCCTCCCCCAACCCAGCATCCCAACTACAAACATGTTGGACAGTAGAAGCTGATCAGGGATCAGTCACCACTTGTTTCTGGGTTGGGGTTGACAGCTTCATCCTGCCCAGCCCCCATCCAGCACTGTTGCCTAGAGGACTCTCAGCTCCTATCGGGTGTAATATTCTGATTGGCTGCTTCCCTTCTCAGTGGGCGTGGAAAAGGCGTGGCCTGACACGTTGTGATCTCACAATCAGCTGTTTTGTACGTTTCTACATACTGATCCGAGGATCAGCTGGAAAGCAGCAATAAACAGGAAAATCTGCAGCAAAGGGAAAAAAAAGAAAAGAGGAGGAAGACGCTGCAGATGTAATAAAAAAGAAACATCAGTGTAAATTTCTTACACGAAGCCCTTCTTCTGAGAAGAAAGCCTTTTTATTTTTGTATATTAGTGTTTTAACTACCTCAGATAAAGGCTATATCTAAAGCTATGCTTTAAGAGCTGTCCTTTCTACTGTGTTTTCACACCTCGTTTACAACTTGAACTCAAAGGCGGGTGAGTAGCCTAAGATTTTATATATTTGTAGTCTTTTGTCTCTATTGCGGAACATATTTGCCAGCCAGCTTCTTGTTATCCGGATTTTAGCTCATTTATGAAACCTATCCGCCTCCCAAGGAATAATGATATAACATTAAGTGTGGTCATTTTTGTCTTTGTGACCCCATGGTGGGGTATTTCTGTCTGCAGTGTATTATAACTGATCTATTATTAGACATGGAATAATGCGGAGGTAGATTAGATGTAAAGATCAAAATTTAAAAATATGTATAGTTTTGATATAAAACGGAAGAAAACAAACAAAAAAAGATGATTTCCTGACTGGAGCTTTACGCTCAGTCGTTGTTTTGCAAATTGCACCAAATGCTGATGTGAGGTCGATGGCGGATGTTGACGTTTTTTTGTCGGCCTTTCTGCAGCCGGGGAAACCTTTAGGTTGTTTTTTCCCTGTTTATTATTTCAGTGTAATTATGGATCTATGATAGTTTATTACCAGGAGCCAGATCAAGTGCACAGCTGTCATTGCTGTGACCCTTCAGCTGTAGAGCTTATACGGATAATTCATGTTTAACCTGAATACCCCCCCACACACACACACACACACACACACACACACACACACACACAGAGTCCTGTTTACATAACGACGCTTGATCTATTTTATTTACCTCAAAACATCATGGGTGTTGGCCTATTTGCGACCTTCCCTGAAGAAAAAAAATACCACTGCTGCTGGCAGCATAATCTTTACATAAGCATAGTTCTCAGCAGGAAACAGTTTGCCCAGAGGTTTTAGTTTAGTTTAGTTTAAAGATACTGACTGAATGTAATCGGTACCAGATGTTTAAAAATACACGATCGTTCATGTCGATAGGTTGGCTTGTTTAGACCGATTTTTTTTCCGTCTTTGGACGCAAAAAATGGGCTGCAGTCTCTTCTGTTTCAGCTTCCGTGACGCAACGTTACGTCACAGTGTTCTTGTTTTCATTCTCCGGCTCTCCGCCCATCGCGCTCCTCCTTCCCAGGTCCTAGACATACACTGACTTGAATATATTTTAATAATATGCTAATGCTGCCATGGCCACCATTACCCAATTAGCTAAGTATAAAAAGCTGTTGAAAAAAAAATAAAAGTTGGAGATATATACTGAGCTATTTTAGGGTTCTTTACAAAACTCCACGCAATAGCATACCATGTATGATGTACTTTATCTTTTATACCCTAGAAAAAAAATAAACTAATATTGATATGTATCTCTGTTTTCTTTTTCTTAATACGTATAATAATATTCATTATTTGATTGTCAGAATGTATTTATATTGTTATAAATGTATCAGTAGCATTAATACTTCTGCTGCTCCTTTTATTACTGTGGTTATTAACTGGGGCGAAGCTAGATGGGGGGCCAGGGGTGGCCATGGCCACCATTACCCAATCATTAGCCACCCCTGTGGCCACCCATACCATTTTCCCTTCTAATACAGATGGTGGCAGCAGTAATACTCTCAAGTAGAATTGTCAAAACAATTTAATTTGTTGTGGTTAATTATACACATCAATATACCAACATCAAAGATGATAAACACAGATTTCATGATCTTTTCAGAATAGATTTTGTGTTACATGGGGTAAAGAGAAAATTATGCGTCTCTGCAAATCATCTAGGAGTCTTCAGTAAAATTTATAAATAACAATTTTAATAAAAAATAATCAAATAATCAATTTATGTTTACATTTTCTGGTCATGCCTCTGTCTCCACCCATCGCGGTCCTCCCTATTAGGACCTAGACATACTCTTAACTTGAATATATTTTAATAATGCAATATTTACAGATATTTATTATTAGTAAATCTTGTTTAAATATATGGGCTATTTTAATATCCAGATTTTGTTGCTCCCTATATATATATTAGACCAGGGATAAAGCCAGCAACTGGTTTAGGAGGATGTGGGCCCCAGATCTAAAGCTAGTGTTGATGCCCTACTCAGACATGTTTTGTTTATACATGCATTTTGCAACACAATGCATGGTAGGTAGGTATGGATGCTGGTAATTTTCCCCTACACTACTTTTTTTTTTATACCTATTAATTTTAGTGCTTTCTCTAATGGGACATTTTGTTCCAGTCATGCACCAGTTTGTATTTGGGTGGGAAATATTATACACATAATTGAAGAAGGACTTTCAATTAAAAAAAAAGAGAGAATAAGGGCAAAAAAAAACATGATATACCTAGTCTTGGCACTGTGCAAACAAAACAAAAAAACATTTATTTCAAAGCAGTGTCGAATTTTTTTCACAAAGCCTTTTATATAAATAGCACCCATATCAGAGACATGTCCAGCCATGCCTACATGTTGCAATGTTACATAATTGCAAAACACTTTTGGGGTCATTGAGGTTAAAACCACATTTAACCAGTTCCAGTAGACATTGCCGGTGTTTGTGTTCAGTGTTTATGTTAATTGCTATTAGCTATCACAAAATTTCAAATGCGCTGCAGACATATTGGATTTGGAAATGAAGAATCGTGAAAAGCCTCTATCCTCATCATGGGGAGTGTTGGCCTGGTGTTTAGAGCAGTGTGCTTGTACTCTGAGGTTACAAGTACCTGGTCCGATCCCTGCAGCCTGCACTCTGGGTTCCTGAGCAAAACCCTTAACCCCCACGTTGCTCCCAGAGTGCCACACAATGGCAGCCCACTGCTCCCCTTAAATGCAGAGATTGAATTTCCCCATTGTGGGACAAGAAATGGTTTTATTTTATTTTTTTTTAATTTAAGGTACAGTCTGTATGTTCATATGTATATTATAATGTGTTGGCCAAACCGTGTGAATATATATTGTCACTGCAAATGATAAAAATGACACTAACACACAAAAAAAAAAACTGCAAAGAAAAAATGATGCTGCAAAAGAGCAATATCGTAATCACAGAAAATAAAGAGCATCAATGTAGAAAAATCCTGCAAAAATACTTAAATGCTGCAAACACATAAACACTTGCAAAAAATGAAATGATGAAAATATAAAAAAAGAAAAGAAAAAAAAAGAAGCAAGATAAGAAAAGCATAAGTGCTCCAGACCAAAAGGAGGAGACAATCATCAACTTATATGGGACCATTCTATTACTAAAGGCATAAACGGGATGATAAGGTAATCAATCATATCATAAACACAATGGCAAATTAAGGTAAAACATACTTCCTTGTTCAGCTTCAATTTATATTTATGTTTGTGTTCTACTCCCATATGAGATGATGACTGTCTCCCCCTAGTGGTCTGGAGCAGTTCCCTTACCTGGGCATCAGTTTGCAGCTTTTCTCAACTGGTTTTTTCATACTGGTAGTACTTTCCTTTACATGTGTTTTTTGGTTTAGCGAGGGGACAAGAATCCAGGACGAGAAAGTAAAAACCCTGTACAGAAATTAGTTCCAACCATTTGCATTTCCAGCTCCAAAGCACAGACAGAGTACTAACCACATATTTCAAGTGAATAACATAAAGGTCAATTTTAAAGGGTTTTTACTTTCTAGACCTGGATTATCCAGTTTAGACACTAACATCATGTATGTATCTTCCCCGTGTTTTGTGTTTCAACTCAATTCGATCAGTTTATTTATTTATAGCGATTCACAACGCACACAGTCAGAATGGTTAAAGGTTTTCTATATAAGGATATCTTGCTGCTTTACAGGATGTTTCCATTTTGCTGCTCTCTATTTTCTGTGATTGAAGCTTTTTTCTTTTGCAGCATTCTTTTTTCCATATATGCTTTTAGCATTCTTGAGTATTTCATGTTTGCAGGATCTTATGAATTTGTTGTGAAATCATGTATTTAGACTGCTTTTTTCACTCCACTCATTTCAGATATAGAATACATAATGACTGTTTTTATCTTTTACTTATATATATATATATATATACAAAACAGCCAAATGATCCCATCTTGCAGACATGCATTTCCATGTGTATCTATCCACAGTCAGCTTTATTATTTAATTATTAGAGACACATAAATTATTAGTGCATGTAGCTTAAAATCCTCACAACTATAAACTATTGAAGAATTTCCCAGCAGTAATATACTGTATTGTATCAAATGACCCCAGATTTGTAAACAGTTTGTCCATGTGTCAGTGGTCTGCAGGGAGACTGGGTGTGGTAACTGTTTCACCTAAAGTCAAGCAGTTTAAGTACATAAAATATGGCCTTTGGACATATAGAGGGTGACATGGCAAACTGTTTAAACATTGCCTAATATTACATCATCTTTGCTCAATTGTAGGTCAGGCGCTGGCTCTTTGCCACAGCATTTGGTTCCAAAATGTTTGGTCTTTTTTTGCAATCAAAATCCTGCACAGTCAGTGTGCTTGTTGTTGCAAGAGTCTCTTTTGTATTACCTTCTTTCATCTTCTTCTCTTCTGGCTTGTCCATCTGTCCTGAAACTCTGCTGATTGGTTATCCAGGTCTGCAGGGGGGAAGGGAGCTTTTGCCATTGTCCTTATGTTCTTTGCTTAATAAATAATTTCTATGCTCATAAATCACTCTCCTTCATGTTTTCTTCACAGGTCTGTGATGCACATCACAGTATATGGCTTAAGCATATGCCCTACAAAATTTGATATACATTCTAAAGCTTGTATTAGAAAATTTTATATCTAAACAAACTTGAAATTGAGTTATATAAAGATGACAAAGATGTCAAAATCAGTATCTGACCTGGTTGATTGTTTATTCTGTAATGGAGGCAAAAGGTGACTTTTTTAGTTTGAATTTCCCGAAACCTTTTAATGTATATTCAGCTAGTTATGTTTAAAGTTAATTTTCCCAAATTATATTAAAAAGGATGATGTATAATTTTATTAATGCTCTTGGAGGTTTTTTTTTTTCTACTTGGATTACATCAAATAATTTCTGTATGTGGCCAACTAGCGCCACTGGTGAAAAAATAAACATAAGCACTAAACAACAACACTTTATTTTTATTAAAGGCACTAAGAATCCACTCGTATCAAGCGTACTGATATTTGTATTTTTCCCTTCTCTTTCTCCTCAGGCCTTTGTTCCAAACCAAGTGAAACCTTACATTTGCACTACTGAAGTCCCTCCCGCTTTGATTTGTCAAATTCAAGATCAAGCACAGGGCTTAAGTGGAAACAAGAACTTCAGGCAGAAGATCAGCATTACAAAACCGCTATTACACCGATAGAAATAAAACAGAAAAGGCAGCTATTACATATTATTTCTTTTTGGAGAGCTCATAGCACATCCCAGACAGCAACACTTGACAATACAAGCAGCAATGTTTCAGCGTCTGAGCAACTTGTTGTTTGGGGAGGTGGAAGAGGTGGCAGCTGATCTGAAGGGACCCAATCCATGTGTGACCGAGGCCGACGAGGAGGGCTGGATGCTCGTCAACCTGCCCGGTAAGTCATAGACTCAGCCATTCGGTGTCATTTCATTTCAACAACTCAGAAAAAAAATACAACCATCTGGCATAAAATTATGACCACTTAAAAGAAATTAGCACTAAATAATACATGATTATGGTGGGAAAGTTTCAGAATTTGATCTAGACTATTTCTGATAGACAGCAGGGGTAAAAAAAAATCTCCAGCTTTTAATTGGGGCTCCTGGTCTGCAGGTGTCAGAATTAATTATAGGTGTTAGAGGAAGGAAGGAGTACTGTATTTTCTGCAATATAAGGTGCATTTAAAAGCCTTACATTTTCTATAAAAACAATGCCTTATACATGTATTAATTTGGGTTGTGCTTACTGATCTCAGTGTGATTTTGTGTGGTCAAAATGTTTTAGTAGGACTTTGGTAAACTACAAAGCCACAGCACTTGAGGCTACACCAGTCAGACGGAGTGTGGAGTAATACATGCTGTGCCTCACCATAATATCACTGTGTGTGTAAGGACCCCAAACTGGCAAGAAACACACTTACATGGCAGAATTCAAACACAAGGCTATCAAGTGGAGGAAGCAAGAAAATGAACTGTGCACTATATATGACAAAAGTTAAAAAGCAGACCATTTATCAACAGTGTGCCCCTATATTGCAGGAAAAAACAAAAACGGTAAACCAATAACGTGATGGTTTATGGATGTTGGTGCAAATTCCTGTTCATCACCAACTGCCTTTGAAATTCTTGGAGCAACATAACCTAACAACAAAGCAGAAATGATCAAGAAATAGTTTGAGGATAACTAGTCAGGGATGTAAACTTGGCCTTGGAATTATCTGGATCAGACTGAGCATCGGTGGATTCAAAAGTCTGATCCATCAAATATTTTAGTGCCTCGGTCAAATATCTAGGCTCGGCTGCCAATAAGTTGCTGCTGGACACCAAGGCCAACTTCAGGAACTACCACACTAGTAAGGTGGTGGTCATAATGTTATGCCTGATGGGATATTTAAGTTGTGTGTTGTAAAGTGAGAAACTCTAGCCTTTTCTGTTTTCTTTGTGCCGTGTGATTGAAATGTGAAAGGTAAATGGGGATGGTGGAGTTGGGTGTAGAATCAGTCTGGGCATGGTATACCTGCATACGGCCACCGTGACAAAAATGTCTATCAGTTGATTAAAAGCCCAGGACCATTCAGCTTCTGCCATTTTGTTCACACTGAGATTTTGACTAAAATTGCTTCTTGGAAAAAAGCTTTGGTGCCTTTACAAGAACCAATAACATATCAGACATATTTTGTCAAGTTGTTATTTCATGCTTTGGTCATTTTATAGTTGACCTATTAGGTGCAAAATAGAAACTATCTAACACATGATGTTTTGTACCAACCATGCATCAATTTATACCCACCATGGCAATGTTTTGTATCCAGAAGAAACGTGTTTACTTGTCCCTAATGACTGATTTCAATTTCCAGTTATTCTAATTTGATTAGGGGTTTTAATCCAGTCACCCAAATAGGGTATCAAGATGTGAATAATGTATACTTTAATAGTAATAAAAATGCTAATAATGGAAATTGTTGATCTATCATTCACTTTTTTAATCTTTTATTCATGATTGATGTATTTCTCTGGTAATTTGTTTTCAAATTTATTTCTTTTATCTGTTTGGACTTGAGAAAAGTTGTAAATTACACATAGCGTAGGTTTGAGCATGTTCAAAATTATCTGTCCCATAACTAAAACACGTAACTAATAAGAAAAATCAACTGTTCAGTGGTTCACCATTTTAGTATGAACTTGGCAAATGCTGGGATGAAATGGGGGTACAAAACAGCGAAGAGGCTATATGAACATCAAAAGCACATCTCAGGAGAGTCAAAACACAACTTCTTTGAATGATCACAACCTTTAGAGGGTCGGCAAAACTAACACTGTGACTCCTTTATGTTTTGTGTTCCCTTACCCCTTCTTTTTACCCCCCTTCCAATTTTTTTTAAATACCCTTATATATCTCACATCGGTATGTGTGCGCGTGCGTATGTGGTCCCTCTAAAACTTTTGCTCCATGTCCCGCATGGCCTTTTTAAAATGTTTTGCCACATTTGGAAAATATTTTTCTGGGGGGGATTCTTCTCCTGCCTTTATTGGCCTTCCCTTTCTTGATCTCATCTTTGCCTAAAAGACTGTGACAGCATGATGCAGGTAGAGGATGAGATGGGAACCCCACACACTGCGCAAGCCTTACCTCAGAGTAATCTATCAGATCACCGAAACACACAAAGAAGTACTGATTGCCCAGCCTCCACACCCCATCTGCCTCATAAGCGTCGTAGACCACATAAAGGACAGACACGGGGTCCAGCAGTCCCATCGGAGGCCCTGTCTTGTCCCAGCGCTAGTCCACCACATTTAGGTGCCACCACGCCTGTGAGTCTACCGAGACGGGCCAGACTGTCCACGCCCTCCTCCACCCCGTCAATATCTCCAGGCTCTGGGAGCGATTGTGGGGGCAGTAGGTCAGGCTCAGAGAGAGGCTGCATGGATGAGAGCTGGTTTGTCACCCCTCCCCCCTGTTTCACTGCAGAAGGAGCCACGGCGGAGACCAGCCCCATGGAGGACCTGCTCATAGAACATCCCAGCATGTCGGTTTACGTTTCCCCCAACAACATGTCCATGCTCTCCAGCAGCAACCTGTCTGTGGTTGGGGAGGAGAGCATAGTCAGCCTAGCGAGCAGTGCCAGGTAAGACATTTTTTATATCCACACTACAACCTTCCAGTGCTTTAGTAGCTAACAGAAATCCATCTTTTTTTTTCACTCTTATTTGCAGCAGAGTGACTGAACCAGCAGCTCCCCCTGCTACACGTGGCACCATGCCCACCAGGGTGAGTCGTGGAGCAGCTGCACAGGCTGGGGCTTTGGCCAAGGTCACCCAGGTGGCCAGGGTCCAGCGTTACAAAGCTCGCATGGAGCGGCGCCACATGAGCCGCAGCCACATTCAGCGACAGAACCGTGTGAGGGAGCAGGTCCCTCGTCATGCTTCGCACGCAAGAAACACCTACCTTCACCAGCCCAGCAAGCGTAACTTCTGTCACTAAGCTAAACATCAAAAATGAGAGGGGGGCTTCATTTACTCTGGGGGCATTCATAGTGCAGAGTCAAACATAGTTAAACATGTCCACCCACAGCATTGTCAGCTTCCATTTTCAGTAATAATGTCAGTTTTTACGTTTCTAAAGAGGTCTAGGGAGTCTGTTTGTTTCAGCACAAACTGACTCCATTTTCACCCAGCCTGCACCTTCTTAATGTAGACCTTTACAGACCATAATAACAGCCCCCTTATTGTCCACCAGAATAAGAAAAAAATAAAAGATTAATTTTTCAAGCTACATGTAGTTATATTAACACTTGGAAAATAGCAATAGTTGAGTTGTATTCATTTTCTTTAACATTTTAAAAACATATGACTCTCCCAAAAAATATACAACTGTGGTGTCATCACATGGAATAAAAAAAAGACCAAAATAGCCACTTTCTTTGTACCCCAACTGGACAGTATGTTTGCAAATCTACAAAACAGGATGAGGGTTTTAATTATTTGAGTTTTACTCAGAAAACACAGTAGAAAAAAAGGCAAGAACGATAGAAGAATAAGCTCAAGTTGGTTTCCTTGCAAAGTTGCTTAACTAAAAAAGCGTTTCACCAGAGGAAACAACAAGCTCTCTTCTTTGCCTTGTGCAGAATGCAACAGCATGTAGGAGATTGTGAAAGTATGTGCAAAACAGACTAAAGAGTAAAAGAATCTCTCAGAGCAGGATTTTAGAAAAGGGAGAGTCAACCCTCAGAGCAGCCGGTAAGAATCCTTCCATTTACGGCTAATCTTTGGGTTACAGGGTAAGGAAGATATGGTGAGGTCACTCGGTATTGAAGGGGACTCTTTATTTTGTTTTGTCAGCATCAATTTCATTGTGTTTGTCTGTGAAAAGCAGTTTAGATACGCCAACTTTTTGGATGATTTCTATCAAGAGAGCAAATTTAACTGTTTCTGCTCAGTTGGAAAAAGAAATCAGGCATTTTAAGTCAACAAACCAATTTTTCCAGCAGCAATATGTGCTATGAATTTATAATATTGACATATTTATAGAAGAGATCCTCAGTGCCCTGCGGAAGACACAGACTGCTTGGCGTTTTTGAAATTTTGTCACATTACCACCATAAGCCACAAAGATTTTTGTTGAAATTTTAAGTGAGAGACCAACTAGAAGTAACGTGTAATTGTGAAGTGGAGGGAAACTTGTACAAGTTTGAAATCTTCAAGGGAGATTTGTGTTTGAATTCGTCCACTTAAATCGTCTATAGAACTCGCTTTTGGAGATTTTACAGCTTTAAGTCTTGGGGGTGCATGTCGTCATCCATCTTCTCCCATTCTTCACTGCTAAATATTTCCCTTTCAGTAAGCTTTGCAGAGTGTCTGTGAACGTCTTGTTGCAGTTTTTCCCTCATAAAGTCTTGCCTGTGACTGGTTCATTCTAAAACATTATTCAAATGTTCACATTGAGGTGGAGTTTGCAGTTTTCCTACACCTTCCCTTTTTAGGATTGGTGGTGTGAACTGTGCTCTAGATGACTTTTTAAAAGTGGGGTACTCCTTTATAACTTAACCTGGTTTTAAACTTTTCAAAAACACAACCCGTGTGCTGTGTTCCTTGGTCTTTATGGTGCTGTTTGTTCACTACTGTTCTCTAAGCAAGTTCTTAGGCAAACACAGAATGGCTGTAATTAGAAAGAGATTAGATTGCATATAAATAGGTTTTTTGTTTACTAATAAAAGAGAATCTAAAGACAAATGGTTGCTCTGGAAATTTTTGGAGGAATACTATTTACACGCCTCATTCTTCAAAGGTTTTAATAATGATAATAATAAAAACAAAACATTCATCCTTGATTTTTCTTCCATTTTATAATCATGCTATAGCTTTCGGTGGTCAGAAAATTACAATTACATATCTTGAAGGTTGTGGTGGTGATGTGACGGAGCATGAATAAGTTCCCTTGTAAGGTACCATGTTAAAGGAAAGAGAAGCTTTCTGTATGTCATAGAGTAAAACGCCATCCATCAGTAAATCCAAAGCCAACATCTCTACAGCAACCGCTCCATAAATGTCCCGCCGTTATGTCGCTTTCACATCCAGCTCTAACATAGTCCTCTTTTAGGATCTGGCTTACTGATATGTATTCAACGATATTAAACAATGGTGCTGAAGTGTATACTGATGTTTGTAAATTATTTTAAAACGTGGATGTAAGTTTGCACTGTCAGATATTGTTTGGGTCAAAGTTTTAGCAGTGTGCTGTGTGCTTTTCTTTTCCTGATTTACTTTTCGATTTTACTTTGGTTAATTTTTTTTTTCTTTTTTGTTTGGATCTTAAAGTGTGAGAAGGTGTACTGGCACACTCAATGCTAGCAGCTTTCCTAAACGGGGGGAAATACTAACATAAATAATGATAAAAAAAAGTTTCTCTTGTAAATATTAGAACATTATTTACAGCTCTCCTTTATAGATGTCAAAGTGTCTCAAGACTTGAGTCCACGACATCCCGTCCAGTTGGAACTGAGAGGCGGTGAGGCCAGAAGTGGTCGCAGAATAACCCCCCAAAAGCAGCACTGAGTCAGAGTGAATGTGCCATAGGCAAACCTTGGCCTACAGAGGGCATTGTCACACAGCACCTGCTGAGTTAATGGTGATGACATCACAGCAACAAAGAGGTGGTTTGAAAAGATGTCTGCTGGAGTGTTCAAGAGAAAGATTGTCTGTGGGCTCATTTCTGATTGTTTGAATGAGTGATTTTTTTCTTATGTACTTTTTGGTTTCCTTTGATCCTATGAATGATAAACTCTGTGCACCCACAAGTAAAAAAATTTATTAAATCCCTTTTTTTTTTTGTTTGCTTTAAAAATAACTATGATGTAATCATTTATATCCTCTACAATGCAGAGCATATGAGGCATTGATCCCACACACACATACATGAAGTGATGCCTTTATGGCCACCAACAGTATTCCAAGTCTTACTTTTCTGTGCCTGGGAGGTAGATTATGTTCTTCGGTTGCAAAAATAAAATAAAAAACTTAACAAAAACGAAACAATAATGAAAAATCACGTGTTCAAGTTTGCAAAATCAATACAGATGTCTCTGCAGTTGGAAACGTTTTATTATCTTTTATTTTATTATCCCCTTTTATTTATCCCCTTTTATCATTTAAGAATGAAACATGTTTTCTGTATGTTGTGTTTGATTATTATAAGGGTGTCACGCTTTGTGTGAAAGTCTTGAAAAGCGATAGTGAATGGATAAGAGATGTTTTACAGGATGTAGACAAAAATGGACATAAGAGAAATAGTTTCTATGTATGAAATGAAATGCTCAGCATAAAAAAAAAAACATGGATATGTTTGTATTTTCCCATATAGCTATTAGAAGTTGTTTAACAATATGGGTGTTTATAAACAAAAGGCAATGAATGTCTGGGAGGTGTTTTTCCTGTTTCATGTTGTGCCCTAAAACTAATGGCAGCTTAAAAACACTCGGGAGGATTTTCCCTTATTGCAGCTGAGTAGGTACAACCCTCCCTCATTCATAAAAAAAAAAAGTGAAATCTATAAACCTTTGAAATTTGGTGTATCTGGTATTTATGGTGACTGTGCCTTTTCACTATTTCTGCATGGTTTTTGTGATGTACTGGCTCCCCATCCTTGGACAAGTCATCAAGTGACAGACAAGACCTATGCAAAAGTCAACGGATGGGTTTTTTGCAGCATCCATTCAGGCACCCTCAGTGAAAAATAAATAAACATATATAGTAAAAATTGAAAAAAAATAAGAGCAACAATAAATACTCAGGTTAAAACCTGAATCCTGTGTCATTATTTAAATGCTGAACTCACACCTTAGAAGTCACACATGAAATGTTCAAAGAAAGGGTTCAGTGAAATAAAAACATATTGATAGATAAATAGAACATATTCCTTTATTTAAATGAAATATTTTTAATGACTTTTTATGCCTTAACAAAATAATAATTAAGGACTAAAGCCTGTTTTTAGAAGAAGACAATTATTTGAATACAAAAACAAGCATGAAGTTAATATTTGCCTCTTCCCTTTATTGATTTAAACCATTCTTTGTCAATAAGTAATCATTATGAAACACATGAGTTAATCTAGATTTTACTGCATGAATATAATTTTTCGGTTATTATCTTTTCTCTCTTCTTTCTAAGGTAAGAACCATACATTCACCCCTTCATATAGACATTACACACCTACTTACATTTAAAATATATGTCTCCAACCGACTTTCATGTAAACTGGCAGGAAGCAGTCCCTCAGCATGATGCACTCACCACCATGCCTGGGAGTTCATGTAGCATTCTTATATCTTAGACTCCACTTTGATTCATCTAAACTGACTTCTCATTCTGGTTGAAATGCTCAAGCTTCGATTTCTCTGTTGCTAAAACAGAGATAGATGTAGTTTTCTGGTCAATGTAAACAGCTGCAAATTTCTCCCCAGTTTTACTTCAAGTTGCGTTTTTATCTTTAATTTTATTTATCTAATTTACACTTTTATTTATAAGCATAACGAACTAACTTCATCAGAAGTTGCATCCAAAAGTCTTTAACAGCTTTCAGTGAGTTCACACTGATTACAATAACATTTAAAAATGAAAAATTTAGGACGAAAGAAAACGTGTTTGACGAGATGGTTGGTTCAGTAGTTGGTTCACAAGTAAAGCATGAGACAAATCCACAGCTGGTGAACAATCAAACTTAGGACTAATGAAAAAAATAATAAATTGGTTGTTAATGTTAATATTTGTGTATAGTGTCTGGAAAAATGTCTCCACATCAAAATTCCTGTTCCTGCACAATAACAGTCTGGTTCTGCCTATATTGTTAAATGTACGTAGGAAAAGGTTCAGGAATGAACCCACATGAGGTGACCAGACAGGTGTGGTCATGAAGAGTAAATATTGTTTGTTGATCTGGGTGGTGTGTCCTTTCTTGTGTGTAACACTGACTTATAATGGTGTACACAGGAAAATCACTTCTGCACCCATTTAAACACACAAAAGTAGACTATAATAAGCACCCATGAAGGAATGATACAAGCCTGCATTTAAAAAATAGTATTTTTTTAAAGTAAAATAGTAAATAGTATTCTCTTTTGAGTTAAAACAGCATGTCGGAGTAAATAATGCATGGTGCATCAGCAGCAGGTTGAGCTTCTTTTTCTGCTTCTCTAAAAGCAAAGTCGAACATGGAGGGAAACTGGAGAAAGGTCTGCCACAGATTAGCCTGTTAAAAAAGACAGTAATGGCAGCCTAACGTTGCAGTAATGTCCAGATAAAAGTGAAGCTGCCAGGCAGAAGCAATTGCATATAAGGTTTCTAAAATTCCTCCACTTTAGCCCTTCCATAGAATGAAAAAGATTTTTCTTTTTTATTCTTTTTTTTTTTTTGCTTTTTTCTTAGTTGAAATAAACACAGAATCAAAGCCGCATGCACACGGGATAGTAAAGTCTGGAAGCATAATGTGTACCTTGCTATAAACCATGGAACCAGCATGTTGTTTTTCAGAAAATCCCAAAAGAGAATGTGCTGTGCTTTAAGTAAGCCCACCTATTAATGGATAAAAAGGGAGGTTTGGAAAGGGGTAGTCAAAATCTGGACCTAATTTACTTTAGATGCTGTGTTCCCTTAAACAGACTATCACTACCCAAAAACCATCCAATGTGGCTGAATTTAATGAATTCTACAATAAAAGAATAAACTGAATTACCTGCACATCAACATATAAACCTTACTGCCAAATATTGTGGATGCTTGATGGTAGCTGATGCTGTAAAATGTGGAACAACCAATTAACAAAATAAATGACATTACAATCTAAAAAAAAAAAACAATAAAAAACAAGAAACATTCTGTATTTATTTACAACTGAAAACATAATAAAGAGGAATATAAAACAAACATGCAAAGGGACAAATATGTTCCCAGCATGCTTGTGACCTATCATCCATGGCAACTACAAAATCAGGCTTTAATAGGAGGTAACCAGACACTAAGCCTGTTTTGTGGCTGACTGAGAATTTGCACAGGCATGTTGCTACAATTTAAGATCATTACCCTCATGTTGGTTCAAGAGTTTACTATGAGCCAACTAAATGAACAAAGAAGTCGGGATATTTTTTTTTTCCAGAAAAACTGACAGCAAATCCAATTGCCTCCAATTTAAGCCTGTTTTGAACAAAAAGTTCAATGAGGCCCGATCAGTCCAGAAATATAAAATATCGAAAAACAAATGTGTTCAAATGAATTCCAAACTCTTTTAAAGCACAGAAAGCACCTTTAAATTAACATTCTTAGTTTAAAATGAAATGAAGACTCATAACTACTGGTAGGATACAGCAATTCACACAGAGCTTACAATGTCCACAATGGTGCTAAATAGGCTTCATGACACCAATTCTTATTGGAAAAAAATGTGTTTGATTTAGTCAATAGAAAACAGTTTGGTACCTATAACCTTATTTTTTTTTTTGTATTTTTTATTTTTTTTTGCCTTGTTCTGTTAAGTACGGAAGAGGATTACGGCCACTGAAAAAACAAGTTAACTGATTTTCAAATTTTATTTGAGTTTAATATGGCATAAAAGTCATGGAGTTTTTTCTCAGTATTCTGACACCAAACAAACATGTTAGCATCAAGCCATAGCCATGTCTGTTTTAGAACCTCTCTGGTTTTAATGACCTTCTGCTCTTCCATTATTGAAATGGCATCACCAGGGACCCCTCGGGCACGTAAAAAGTCG